ACTTCCTGCCCAGTTTGACCCATTTAGCAGACGTCAGCCTGTTTAAGGCTCTGATGTCTATTCTGTATGACTTACAGCAGTTATGACATGGTCTGATTTTCTCACCCAATAAAGGAATATTTCATATATCAGTCTACTCTTCATTCTATCAGACACACTTATCACAGCTCCTACATTTGCTTTTTACACATATATGTAAGCATTGAGACAAATTTAGTAATGACAACATATTAAATGAACAATATTTGTCTCTTATAATACATCTGTATACACACTGTCACAGATACTCGTCTTTGACTGAAGATTTAAGGTGACAGGAAATATAAATAACTGCAACTTGAATCTTTGACCCAGAGTTCAAGCTCACTGCTGTAATATATCCTGTAATATATATCATAATAATCTGACAATACTATAATATTAGCCATATTATATTTACATTACCACAGTGAGATGACTTTAGTCTCATGAACAACATCAGCTAATTGTTATTTACTAACTAATCTTAAATGACTGTTCAGCACAGAAATGAAGCCCAACAATCATGTTTACAGTCCCGTGGTCTCAGCCTCAGATACTAGTCAAAGTGATGTCATAAAAAAATGAATGACCAACAAAACATTTTTCTCCTTCATTTCTGTCACACAAAGCTGTATGTAACGTGTCTCGCGGTTAGTATCATGGTTGCTAGGCAACCTGAACAGCGCGACGGAGGCCAGACCGTCCCATTTCACAAGCCTCTCACTTCCGCACTTCTCGTACTCATAGTACGAACCGTGCGTACTGCGCGTACTTCAAGCGTGCAGACCCTGAATTGGGACACAGCCAGTATATACAGACAGGAGGTGATGAGGGAAGTGGACACACACGGGGACACAGCTGAGACAAATTAGGGGCGATGAGACAGAGGGGAACAAAACAGAACACACTGAACACGAGACGCAAGACTGTCAAAGTAAAAAAGGAAGCACAGGGACGCGGGCCTAAGACTCACACACCTGACATAACATTAGGGATAAAACAGGGAGGCAACGAGACGACAAGAAACACCAGGAGAGCAACACGGGAGGGAGAGAGAGGGAATCCAAACATGGAGACGAGACAGACGGAGGGGCGAGCGACACACACGGACGACACGGAGTCAGGCAAACACACAAGACGAAGCTCAGGGAAACGCACAACACTAAACAGAGTTTACACAGGAACGAAATCATCCCCGTACACAGAGAATAACACAGCTCAGGGCTTCACAATAAGCAGTGCTCTTCATTACTAAACTAATGATTTCTTAAAAAGAAACACACTTATTATTATTATAGGAAGCAGTTTGTTACAATATTACTAGTTATTTCTTAACATTACATGCACTGTCCCTTCATTTGTAGCTCACAATGTAAACCTCAGAATATCGTCCCACACTGACACAGGCTCCTACTGACACTCAGCTGATGTTCAATAACACAAAGCCATGAGCAAGTAGAATCTACAGTAGAGTCTACAGTAGAGTTTACAGTAGAGTCTACAGTAGAGTCTACAGTAGAATCTACAGTAGAGTCTACAGTAGAGTTTACAGTAGAATCTACAGTAGAGTCTACAGTAGAATCTACAGTAGACTCTACAGTAGAGTCTACAGTAGAATCTACAGTAGTTTATAGTAGAGTCTACAGTAGAGTCTACAGTAGAATTACAGTTGAAACAGGTTTTTGTTCAGTTCTTCGTTTCATCTGATTCCACATGAATTATTAAGGTTCGTTTAGATCATGCTCTGAAACAACTGTCCAAAGAAGAACCAGGAAGTGTTTCATAACAGGGACCGAATGGCAGGAATGAAGCGATATACATAATGAACTCTGCAGTGAACAAGAGCAACAGTGACTAAAGGAGAATCAGCACAGGTGAAGGGAAGTGGGCGGGCCCCGAGGTAAACTTTCCTCTACATCCAGGCGAAAGCCAGAGTGAAGTACACTGCCGACTGACACGTGCCCTCGTACCAAATACCACAGCTCTGCTAGAGGACTCATTAAAGGGTCACTTTAGAAGAACTGGAGCTGACAGCAGGCGCACATTAATGATTTAGCCCAAAAATGACTAAAACAATCAGGCTTTATGTATGTTTTCACCCCCGTGGGGATATTCTGTCATTCTGTCACAGCTTTTGGACGACTCGACGCTGAATTCTAAACTGAAAGCTGGGAAACTTGAACTTACCCGAGTGAATGGCAGAGATCAATATACACATTCATGATGATGGACAACAGCAATGTCTGTGGACGAGAACGCCAACAGCATATTAGGGTTATTATAGTTAAACTAAAACTAGGTGTGAAAAGCACTCTGCTGAATGTGAATACAAACAGCACCTATAACTAATACGAACCCCAACAACAGTATAAAGCTAGCTGGACCGGTACATTTGGTAAGTGGGGCTTTTCTACATGATCAATGCACTGATGCACGCACACATAAAGAATATCAGCTGTTATCTGTTCTAACACTGTTATTTCATTACTATGGATTTCTTTTAATCCACGGAACTGCAATAAAATGTTTCAGTAACTCTGGATAATTGAAACATTTTAACGCCTTGTGTTTTTATTGCTATTTTGTAACAAAGGATATTTTTATACCATAAAACATTTTGTATTTCAATTTCAATTCTAAAAGGAGGGACATGACCTCATCATGTCTCACGTTCCTGACCACACAGCTACTATTACAACTTATTATTATTATAAGCAGTTCTTTTCTCTGTGTCAAAGAAGAAATGCGCTCATAGTAAAGCAGAACCTATTGGATGCTGTTTCCGTTGAACAGAACCAAATTAATGTGGATTATAGATGAAACTTTCAGTCCACATCGCCTCTGTTCAACGAGTCCGAGCTAGCAGCAGGTAGCTAGCTAAGCTGCCATCCATTAGCCTCGCTCAGCCTGCTAACTAGAGTTTGACTGCAGGTGATGAATGTGACATTTTACTGATAATGTTTGTTAGACTGCTAACAGTTCTCTTGGTGAGGACTCACGCGCTCCTACCTGTCACCTCTGAAAAACACCCTCTCCTGAACAGTGCGCGTGCACTCTCCGGACTTTTGGGGGCGCGGTTTAACCCCGAGTCACGATGACGGTGGCAGCACTGAGCAGGCTGACCGACTGATGACATGGTTACGGTTCAGTAGAAAACCATCACCCAGCGGTTCCTGTCAGCTCCTCCACCTACGACCTGCACACTGTAGTCATCATCACACCTGTGTGTGTATACACACACATACATACATATATATATTTAAAAGGGACAGTGCAGTTTAACATAGTCCAAGTACAAACATGAAAGTAACGCACGTACATTTATAGCTATTGCTAATTTTCAATAACTGTCCCTTGTTGGGCTTACAATCAAAATAGATACATTTCACAATAAAACATACATTTTCATAAAACCAAATTACATCATAAATACAATTACATTAATTAATAGACAATTAAACTAAAATTAAAATCCTTATTCAAAATGACTAATTTCCCTTTAACCACACTTTAAGCTTCAATGTAAAGGATCTGATGTCTGTAATCAATTAGATTTTGGTTGGAAGTGTGTTCCACAGATGGCAAGCTGACTGACCGAATGCAGATCTGCGATATAACATCTTGCAGTTGCCGTTCACCTTACTCCTAGTAATACGATTACTATCTTGTCTCTGGATGTTTCTATTGAGACACTCTGGGGCCATCCTATTTATACATTTAAGAAAACACAAATGATTAAAACTCTTAAAACTAAGTAGTAGCAATATTTCTTTAAAATGTGACAATGATGCCACTGAACAGATTTTTTTATCCATTATTTTTAAAGATTGGTTATATAAGGACACCACAGGCTGACTGGTGCTGCTTGGGTCCAAACTGTCATACAATATGAAAAATGAGAGAATATCATAGAATGCATAAACATCTGAGCTGCTGAAGTGGGTATAAAGTGCCAAATTAACTTAAAACAACTCAGATCAGCCTTGACCGTCTTAGAAATCTTTTTTACATGCTTGTCAAATTTAAGATCCGAATCTAAAATTATTCTAAATATTCTAAAAACGTAGATATATCTATATATGAGATAGATCTATCAAAAAATCTCGGTCTGTTTCTTCCAGTCTTCCCACAATGCTCTTCTTCTTCTCCATCAAACTTTTCAACAGCCAGAAATCAAACATTAGTAATGGAGACATGTTTATTAAGAGACAGAAACACTCGTTACAGGTTCACAGGCTGCACACTCGACCATGGTCATAGAAAACACTCAGCATCTAGTTCCTCACAGGCTGTTTTAGACTAGCAGCAATGCTAAGCTGGCTTTGGGCTTATCCAGGTGACTTCAGGGCTAATGGTGGGTTTGTTGTTCTATGAAGGCGGTTCACTTCATCGAGGTAACCTATGCTGTGAAACTCCTGCAGGTCAAAGATCAGAGACCAGCAGGTATCACTGAAAACAGTGACACCACACCTGGTCCCCCTGTGTGCAGACAGTCCACAGTGTCGTGAGTAATAAAATAAGAGATATGGATTTTTATAAGCAATAACATTTGATCCAAAGACACCTGTGCTCACCTTAGGTTGAAATTGTGTTTTTCTATTGAATCTTTACTGTCAAATCCTTAAACAGCACCAAGTCTGCAGCTAAAAGCAGAAAAAGTAAAACTGTTCCAAGTTTCTGATGAGCTGGATTTGAGTAGGCGAGTCTTTGGAGCACAGAACTGTAGTTTGACTCCACCACAGGCTGAAGGCCAGCTGCTCTTCCCAGTGTGCATGTGACTGGGCTCGCTCTTAGTATGGTTTGCCTCCCAGTGAAGTAAGCATCTCCAGCCTCTCTGCAGCAGTGGGCATGTCAGGTTTCACACCATCTCTTCTCCTCTGCACCATGATGTTGTGCTGCAAGACAAAACAGACCAGCCAAAGAAAGCACATCAGATAATTATCAGAACAGCACCTGCTAATAATGACGGCTGAATAAATAGCACGACACCTTCTAACCAAGTCAGTGTGACTGCTCAAGTCTCGCTTGTAAAGGTCACAGTGGGTCTGAGGAAATAACCTCGATGACATCACAATGACATCACGGAGGGCTTTGAGTGCCAAACTGAAATGATTAAATCATCAATTCAGCTGGTTTCAGAATTATTAACTGATGCATCAATTCATTACGTGTTTAAGACAGGTCCATCCTATCGCCAGGTATGATGAACAGGTATCCCACAATGCATTTCAAATCACAAGTGGCAGTGCTGCTCTAAACTGTAAGCAACAGGGTGGCTTTAAAAAAAGAAATCATTTCCTGATTCAAGCTGATTTCAGTTTGATTAAAGCTGGATCAGTAAATCGCTTTTTAAAGACGGCAGAAACTCAGCCTAAAGCTCACAAAACTATTTCAACAACCAGCAAACGGCTAAAACTGCAAATGACAGCAGGTACACGGCTTCAACACAAACATAAGTGAACCGCCTCAGGCTGGGCCTCAGCGTCAGCTCGTACTCACAACGCTCCTCAAACCCAACGCTGAAAATGACAGACTGAAACAAGTACAGCACACGTACAACCATCAGAGCTCCACCTGTGACAGGCGGAGGGGGTGTTGTGTCCCACTTTATAAGGTGCGGTGCAGCACAGCTCCAAACACTTCAGCAAATATCCTCCAGCTTTACAAACTGACCACAGGTTTACATTTAGATCGGCGCTCACAGCCCTCTGTACCACAAGAGGACACAGTTACCATACCTGTGTGAAACACTTGTGCTGTGGAGTCTGACGTGTGACAGGAGGCTGAAGTTAATTACATTATAGTAATAGTAATAATAATAATAATGTGTTAGTCCCTGTAGGGAAATGACTCCTCTGCATTTAACCCATTCACCCAGTGAAGCAGTGGGCAGCCACCAGTGCAGCACCCGGGGAGCAGCGTGTGCAGACGGTACCTTGCTCAGGGGCACCTTAGGGTAGCCGTTCAGTGGATTCGAACCCCCGACCTTCTGATCAAGGGGCAACCACTTACCTAGTGAGCTAGCCCTGCTTGTTGATGTGAGCCAATACTAAGAGAACCCCCGTTTGGTGGCCTTTTCTTTGCACACACACACACACGAATGTGAGGAGGACACACTAACAGCTGGTGATGTGTGACCCAGATGTAAACAGATTGGTCATGTGACCACTGCCGTGTGACACAGTAATGACAAACAGTGGACTTCCACAGTTACAAAAGCACGGCTTTGCTGTGACAATATTCTGAAGAGTTCACTATCGGGGAAGTTGATCCTTTACTCACACGTGGAGCTGAAACAACAGCAGGCTACTTTCAGTGCTTACATTTGACTGATGCCATTTCACTCTGGCTCCATGGTGTACTGGTTTACAGGTTAGCCTACTGAAAGATTCCCAGTTGATCCCAGACACACAAATCCCTCTATGGTCATGTCCATAAGAGCAACTGAGAAATGTGCTGATGTGACGCGAGATACGACTGCACCACAACAGCACCCCGTGATATAATTAGTATGTAATATGCTACAACAAAGGCGGACATTGAGCCAATGATACACCCGCTGCTCGGCCTGTAGCTTTGCGTCAGACTTGGGGACCATGGCGATGTTAGTTGCCAGGTTTAAAAAATGTCAGTTTTGGGTTTGTGAAGGAGATGCTGTGATGACTCATCGAGTGACGTCCCTGCCCAGCCAATCGGAGGCCTGCCGTCTGCTGGTGTCACATTTTGGGCTCACCTTGGATTGCTTGGAACCCCGGCCGAGTAGGTACTGAAAAAAAGGACCTGGTAGCAGGTACTCTGACCTAATGAAACTGTACCAAACTGTGGCCGGGTCTCTGTGCCGGGGGTCCGAGTCTGTCTGAGGGACTCCCTTTCTCCGTTTGTTCCAGGACAAAGCTCTGTTCTCTACTCTTTCATGTCTTTACTGAACTTGGTGATGTTTCCGTCGTGTTTACAGTGTAAAGTAGCTTTTCTCACTCACTGCAGCCTGCATGCTTCTGCTCAGTGCTGCCGAGTCACGTGAACAGAGGACGGCTAATCACAGCCGATCAGGGAGGAGGGAGCGCAGCCTGCAGGAGAGGAGGTGTTTGCACAGACACGCCAGCTTTCTGAAGGGCGGGAGCCGAACTTAGGACAGAAACAAACTAAAGCATCGAGTCCATCCTGTTAGTGTCGATCAGATACCAAAACCACTGATACTGCTGGCTAACATGTGTTGCTCATTACTTGTGGTGCCTTGAGCATCCAGTGGGTGTCACCACTGCAGCATCAAGGATGAAGATCTTTCAAGATCTTTGCCAACAACAAATCGAAACATGAAAACATTACACTCACCCAGTATTTCCTACAGTTCTTATATCTCTGGAAGTAGGTGGAGCACATGCTTTTATCATAGTTGTAGGCATTCAGACACTTCTGGGAGTCATCGCTCTCCTGAGAAAAGGAGTATTTCAAAGCACAGGATTAGAAAGCCGCAACACTCATGTGCCAGCAGCAGGCACACAGCCGACACAGCGCAGCACGTGACAGACGGCGAGCTTACTTCGATGCAGGGGTTAATGTCCTGGTTCCGAACTTTCCGTGCATTTTGATCCATCTGAATCTGGATGGATGGAAAGAAACAGGCTAGTTTTTCTCAGAAGCATTTACCTCTTCTCTTTGTGACTCCAGGCAGCATTTTAACATGAACCCATAGACTAGACAGAAAATACGGACATGGTCAAGTTCATGTCCCCCACTGGTTAATTATGTGACTGTTTTCAGTGTCATCATTGTAGCTTTTTTTAACTACATGTCACAATTTCCTATCTATACAACCAGAAGTGAGCCGCTGGCTTCCCTGTTTGGATCCATCATCTGTGTCCGTGTCCACTAGAATTAGTTAACTGAACTGAAATAATGATAACACAGTGACTGCACAGGAAGGCAGACGCCTACATGCCTCCTTTTGCCCTACTCAAAGGCCGTTTTTTCCTTTTTCAGCGGCAGACATTGTGATGTATGATGGACGTTTGTCTTGCAGTGAACCAGGCATTTCAGAGGTACTATATCAACACTGGACTGTTATTGTGGGCAACATTTAAAGATCAATACACATTAGCTCACTTTCAATTGTTACATTTTCCACATGACACGTGGTTGTGGTTATTTACTATTGTGCACCAAGAAATCATTCCAATGCATTTTACTGTAATACCCGCCCCAAAATGTTTATACTGTGCAGCTCGAGTTTGATGAAACACATCATTATTTATGCCACAGGTCGATTTACAACTTGAGGATATCAAAGATTAAGTTGTGATCAGTTTGTAGACTTTTATATCATGTTTACAGTTTTTCTCAGGATTAAACAAATGAGTGAAATAAAAAAATGTTTGTAGTTTGAAATACATGCCGAATTAAAAGGCAGTTCTTTCACACACTGTTTTAATGATTCCTGGAGATCGGAAGCGTTAAAAAGAGCACTTGTTATTTAATTAGCAGGTTTCCTAACGACGGTGGGTGCAGCTGAGCGTGCTCCCCCAGTACGTTTCTATATTGTATCAAGCGAAAGCTTCTTTAATGTCTCCAAACGGTGCAGAAACTTTGCAGCAGCTCTGAATGTGAGTGGAATACTCACCATTACCTGAATGTTACAACGTGCCTTCTAGAACCCGGCGTTAGCCTAGCGAGCTGTGCAAGCAGCTAACATCCACTGCAGTGAGCCAGCTTTAGGAAACACACAACCAGGCTAGACTCAAAAACCACGCTGGCGCGACTCCGAGCAACACGAAGCTAACTGATAACGCAACCTTCTGTCACCTTACCGCCGCCTCTGGTTACTGCACCGGCGCACCGCGACGTCACCGAGGACTGACGTCAATATGAGCCAATAGACGCTGTAAAAACCTGCAACGTAGAAAGATAATCCAGCGAGCCAATAGGATTCCGACCCTGACTGTTAGGTTTCGTATCCTTGCAAAACAGGGGCGAAAAGAAGTTTCGGGGATTAACGGCGAGTCCAATTTTTGAGTTTTATTTACAGACAATGTAAGCGACACTAAAGTGAAAACGACAGCGCCTTTCACGAATCAAAAAGCGCCTTGTCGGAACTTTAAATGGGTGTGACTAACTCCAAGTTCGGTTGCATCGCAGCGCATACACAATGGCTGCTCGAAAGAGGAGAAAGCAAACAATTTTCAGGCCCGCCGCGTCTCGCAAAAAATATGAGAAAAAAATTATTAAAAATTCGGAAAATAGTTGAAAGTGAAGAAAAACTCTACAGAAAGGATGATAAAGCGTCCGGGGTAAGTCTGGTGTAAAATAAGGAAACGGTTACTCAGTTCTTCAATTAAAATATCGGGGTTATTTAAATTATGAGCGGGGTGAGCTGGGGAAAAAGTTAGTGTTAATCAGTACCCAGCTTTGGACCACAGAGAAAACCAAGGCAGGGCACAAGGACTGAGAAATGTCAAATCAGCGGTGTCACTGCTGTTATTAGTGTGACGGTGCGTGTTCACGAATATTAAAGATCCCACGAAGCGGTGGTGTGAAGGATACTTGAGGAAAGTTGAACACTTGGTTTATTTTTCTAATATAATAACAATGGCAGTGCCGTGAGCCCCGTCACGAACAGGCGCGCTGAGGAATAATGTTCATTTTCCTCCGCGCGGACTTCACTTTAGCGCACGCAGTGTCAACATTCGTGTCGGTTCAAGCATCTCCTCGCAAAACCGTAGCGGCGACACGAGCGTGCAGCGGCCGCACTGACATTTTGTCTGCGGCCGTGTACTATATGGCGTTTTCCCCTCCGCGCTATTGATCACAGTGTGACACAGAAGCTCGCGTCCCGAAACAAGCGGCTCCGTTTCTTGTCGATAAAGTAGAAAATGGAGGGAGAACTAATGCGGCAGCGCCGAGCGACCCAGCATAGTGTCTTTAAAGTTACCGTGGCTCAGTGTGATTTGTGTGGCAGGTTCACACTTCGTGGGCTGTTAATGAAACGTGTGCCTGTCGCTGTTCCGCCGTGCACAGCCGGTCATATGTCAGGCTACGGTGCCTTAAACGTGAAGCTTCCACAGACTTGTTCGGTGCTGTCCAATCAGGAGCCGGTCTGTCTGTACCTGTCTCACATACATTAAAGCGGAGTCTGTGTGAACGCTTCTGCGACGCTTGCTTTGAACCCGCCCGTAGTTCCGATGTGCTGCTTAAAGAGACTGCAGAGACACAGCTGTCCAACCCGGTTCATCCGATTAGGAACTGATTAAAGTTTAGGGAAATTCTGGGAATTTAAAAACGGGTATAACCGGATACTAAAATCAGCCAAAAAGTAACTTTCTGCTTTGCTTGTTTCTGTACGATTCACCAAGTTTAAAGCGGTTTATTCTTTCTGATCAGACGGAAACGATTTCATTTGTTTTTCTTTTACAGATGAAGAGTTCTGTGTTGGAATGAGACACATTTAGTTTCCTTTTGCTTCTAAGAATAAAGATTATTCCAAGAGTATAAATTCATTCAGACCTTCAGAGATTAAAGCAAAGAGCTGCTTAAAGAATAATAATAATGATGATAAGAATAATACATTTTATTTGAAAGCACCTTTCAGAACACTCAAGCACACTGTGCACAGAAGAATCTCCACACTTTCACTAAAACATGAATCAATGCTTCAAAGTTTTACCAAACAGGCACAAGTAGTGACCGTAGTAACAATTAATCATGTTGCTAAAGAATAGTGATAATAAGTAGATACATTTGTAACTTCTCTAAAATAAACAGTTATACATAAAAATGTCCTTTTTTCCCCCTTTTTTTGATGTTTTCTTATGGGTTTTTTTTTTTTATAAACATTAAAAGTTCTTCTGCTAATTCTTAATTATTACAAAATAACCGAGCATTTCCTGTGTAGTTATGTGGAATCATTTAGTGAATATTTTCAGCTCATAAGTTAAACGAAATTCTAAATGTGTTTAATTATAGATGTATCAGCCCCAAACCATCATCCGGTGCAAGGAGTGATGCAGTGTCTTTATTCATCAGTGTTTTTATTTTCCAAGGTTTTATTGTGCTGCGTGAACTACTTTGCAGATCAGGCAAAATTTAATTTGACATAAAATAATTGTATTTTTTCTTTGGTCAAAAATGGATGAAAATGCAAGATGTGATCTGTTTGTGTGCACTGAACAACTCTTCTCTTTGTCTGTGTTTGAAAACTAATTTAGAATAGAATTTGAATAGAATGTACAACAGAATAGTTTTTATTTTTAATAGTTTGAAATACACAGTTAAAGATTTCACACTAAGGAGCTTTTATTTCTTTTTTGTAGATTCCAGCAAGTTGGTTAACTGGGGAAAGTAATGGTGTGTGAGATTGTGTAATTAGAAAGAGAAGGGCTGTCGGTGTTAGCTACTGATCCTGAAGGATTCAGTGCACCTCACCGCATCAGCAGCAGGACAGCTTCATGTACAGGGCTTAGCTGGTGGACCCTGCACACAGAAATAAGACCTTTCTCTGTTTAAAGAAATGTAAGCAAATAAACTAAAATAACCACATCTTTGTTTTATGTTACATTCTTTTAAATGACAAAGTACACATGCATGTGTGTCACGTTATTAGTATTATTAGATCGATCTATATATATTTCTGTACGGTTGGATAAGACCATGTTCCCTGTGTGTTACATCACCTGTGATTAAATCGAAATGTTGGCCCATTTTTGTCTAACGTAGGATTTCAGCTGCTGCTCACTTCAGACGCTGTTGATATGATTTAAATACCTGGACTGCAGGGAGACAAGTCTGACAGACGGTTCAGTTGGGATTATCTTGGTATAACAAACAAAGCTTTCCCTGAAAAAGACGTGTATGAAAGTTTCTCTTGCCATGTCACTAATTCCCCTTCACATCATGACTGCTAAACTCTGCACTAGTTAAAAAGACCAATGGTCTGACTCCTTTTTAGCCCGTAGGACACAAAAGAATTAAAAATACAGATGAGTCAAACCATGAGACAGTTTTCCACTTTGCCAGGCTTCAGGTCCACTGGTTGTTTTTTTCCAAATAAAACAATTATTAGATCTAATTATAGTTACATTATTGATCACAGCTCAGCCATCTGGTGCCACTGTGGCCAATGAAAGGGCTGCCCACTGGGGTGGTTCTTTTCTACATGACCTACAAAAATATTTAAATAAATGATTTTGTGGTCAGAGGTTTCTGTGCAGTTACAAAGACATGATTGTACAGCACACATCTTTGATGGCTTTAACAAGCAAGAACTGAGTGCACACGTTTGAATTTGTTTTGGATTTGCATCCCTACTGATGGGTCGACAGAACCCATCAGGCCCAGAACTTGATGTTAGTGATGGAGTGACAGGTCGTGTCCCTTTGCCAGCATAAAGGACTCGACTGGCCAGTACTGTCCAAGGAGCTCAGTCAACATCTAAGGAGAAGAATTACACGTGTTGGGAAGGTCTCTTGGAGCCATATCTAAACAGCTGCATATTCCTAAATCTTCACCATTCTAACAATATTATATCAGTGCAAATTATTCTGTATGTCACCACTTTGCCCAAGTCTGGAAGAAGACCCCAACTATCACTTTAAGATGAGAGGAAATTGGTTGGGAAGTTCAGGAAGAACACAGGAACCACCAAACCTGCCATGAACTGGAAACTGATGGAACTCCATGGCAACAAAAAAGAAGCTTGTGCTCCGAAATCACCGTCTTCAGCCAGAGTTGAAATTTCCAGTTCCCCATATGGACAAGCCAAATGGGGTATTTGGCCGCAACGATGACGTATGTTTGGAGAAGTAAGGCTTTCAAACCCAAGAACACTGAGCTCATACGATGGAATAGTAAAGACAGATTTTCAGCTTCACCTCAAACCAGCAGCTTGGAGACGATTGGATCATCAGAATTTCTTTTAGAATAGCTAAAGTGGGCCAACACTCAGCTTCTGGGATGGCTTTCCCTAACATCTACCTCAACCTTAGTGAAAATATTTGCACTATACTTAAAAGTAAGGTTTGGACATGGAAACCACTTATTTTAAATGAACCAATTATCACGAGTAGTCCATTGTATACATTTGAGACGGTATGTAAGACTTTTGCGCAAATCCAAAAGAAATTCAATTTGCACCCATGTTTTCAGTTCAGAAGGGGCTACCAATCTAAACTGGTCATGGTTTCTGATTTGGGGGACAGGAAGAGGGTCCAATTATCCAGTTGAGGGTTACTGGGGCCTGGAGTCTATTCCAGCTGCCATGCTGGGTGCATCTTTCACCAGTATTTTGCAGGATGAGTGTAATGTGCTTATTAGTCACCAGTTTGACATCATTTGCAGGAGTTATCCCGTTTCTATGTTGATGTATTTTCACTGCAGGTCGTTATTGGAGCTCCTGCCGTGTTACAGCCTTGTCCTATACTGAAGCTCTGACGATATTTCTGCCCTTTCTCTCCCTCTCTCACAGACCCCTGTGTCCAGGCAGTGCTGAACACATAAAACTGGACAGAATAATCACATCAGTACTAGTCCGGCGCCGTGCATCGGTCCATGTAGCTGGTCAGCCTTAGGGTGCCATGGCCACGGGAACCCAGGGCCACCGTGACCAAGTCCTGGACAAAGCCAAGCTTGCAGTACCTCTGGGGAGGCGCAAGAGAGCAGAAGGCAAGCTGAAGAAGAATTTCCCTTGTCAGGAGTGTCAGAAGGCTTTCAACAGTCTGGAGAAGTTGAAGGTGCACTCATACTCTCACACAGGAGAAAGACCCTACCGCTGCTCCCACCCTGAATGCACCAAGGCTTTCGTCTCCAAATACAAGCTGCTACGGTACAGACAAGCAGCAGTACATAACAGGCTGCAACATGTTGCTTTCTCTTTGCACTTTTGGTAACGTAATGTTGTGTAGTGGTCAGATTGATGTGTTGAATTCTAGTTTGTTGTGTTTATGTGTAAAGCATGCCTACTTTAAACATGATTGCAACAATTGTGAGTGCTCATAGAATGTGTCTGTGTTCCAAGGCATATGGCAACTCACTCGCCAGAAAAAAACCACAAGTGTTCATACTGTGAGAAAATGTTCCACCGTAAGGATCACTTAAAGAATCACCTACATACTCACGATCCACACAAGGAGGCATTCACTTGTCAAGAGTGTGGCAAGAGCTACAACACGAAGCTGGGTTTCAAACGCCACCTTGCCCTCCATGCTGCCAACAGTGGAGACCTCACCTGCCAAGTGTGCCTGCAGCCATTCCCCAGCACTGGGGTTCTTCTGGAACACCTCAAAACACATGCTGGCAAGTCCTCCGGTGGAACCAAGGAGAAAAAACATCGTTGCGAGCATTGCGAGCGGCGGTTTTACACCCGTAAAGACGTGCGACGGCACATGGTAGTGCACACCGGACGCAAAGACTTCCTTTGTCAGTACTGCGCCCAGCGTTTTGGAAGGAAGGACCATCTGACGCGTCACATGAAAAAGAGCCACGCTCGGGAACTGCTGAGGGTTAAAACTGAGCCAGGCGATTCGCTGGAGCCCGTCGTCTACGACTTGGCGTCTGGGAGCGTAAAGGGGGAGCTCCCGGGAATGCTGACGCCAAGACTGCACCAGCTGAACGTGTACACAGGCCCCGTCCTCGACACCGAGCCCTTCTCCAGTCCCACACATCCCTTTTCTTTAAAGTACCCACTGGGCTCCAACTTTACCTCATACGCCGTGTCCTCACAGGAGCGGGAGCAGAATCTTAAGGGAGACCTGGAGACCTACCTGATGGAGCTGCAGAGCAGTATGCCATCCTCTGCCTCTGAAGCCCAAGAAGCCCAACTCTCCTCCTCCAAACTTGAGTTGGTTCCTGAAGTGGGTGTGCTGGAGGAAGCCAATGAGGAGATGTCCCTGTCCAAAATGTCCACATCAGTAGCAGCACCTGCAGGCGACTCTTTGGCCTTATCTTCCTCTCTAATGGATTTTTCACAGCTTTTCAACTTCCTGCCGCTCAACGGGCCTCCGTACAATCAGGTAGGGGGCAGTGGGGGGCAGGGTGTCACTTTTCTACCCAATGAAGAGCCTGCATCTCTAGTTCAGCTGCCCTCTCAGGCTGCCACGGGCTCAGAGGCTGCTGAGAGTCCACTTCAGGGGCTCTCCTCCTCCTTCATATCCAACCTGAGCACTCCAACCACACTGCCCCGCTTCCACCAAGCTTTTCAGTGACCCCAGTACATCCGGCACATGCCACTCACAAACACTGACACACATGTAGAGCTGCATGCCCATATTAAACGCCATACAAGATGCAAGTGACTGAAGAAATTGGCACATCTGTCCATTCATGATACCAGCAGACACTAACCTGACAGGAGACACAGCACTGACAGCAGCACACTCGCACCACACAGCCAGGCCAGCTTTCTGATGATGAGGGTTTGTTTTGGGCCAAATGTAAGTTATTCTCTTTTAGAGTCTTGTTTTTTTTGCCTCGGGCAGTTTAAAAAAGAAATGAATAAAATCCTGATCTGTCCGTGATTACAGAGACTTCAGATGCATGCTGGTTACCACATGAAGCAGTCGTGCTCAGACTCAAACCATTTTCTCTGTAGCTCATTAATAAGCTTGATGCAAACATTAAAGGGCTGCTTTGCATAACAACATGAACAGAGCTGACACTGAGATGATTCACATGGATAAGTGTTACGACTCAGACACTTGATTGACTTTGTTATACATGCGTACAGTTCTTCATGTAGCACTTTGGATTTCTGGTCTTCAAAGATCGTTATATGTGATAAGATTTAAAGAGCATCCGTAGTTTTGAGGGTTTCTGTTTAGGAGCCAAAGTATAACAGGAGGTTTTTGGGAGCCATGATGGTTCGTTTATTTCTAATTAAAGTAGAACTGAACTTTTCTTTTTTGACTGTACTCGAGTGAGCAGCCAGGTGCTTTACTGTGTCATACATTTGCACTGTCAGTAGTAAGACCATGTGCTCAGCGCGTGGGATTGCCCAAAGCCCAGTTTCAGCCAGAGGCAGTATAAAACATGGACTCCAGGTCTGAAACCTGAAGCCAGTGCAGAAGTGCCTTAAACCTGCATCTTAAATGACCAACAGATGGTGAGAGCTGTGTTTGCAGTAACGTCCTCTGAGCTCTTGATCTGTGCTCTCTTTCAAAAAACTCAGCTTTGTGTTTGGTGAACTTCTGTTTCTATGATCTGGCATCACTGTGTGATGTTTGTCCTGACAGGTGCCATAGAAATAAACTGTAACTGTGTTCTGGTCCTATAGACGTGGAGACCCTGAATCTCTGTCACGTGACATCTGTAAAGACTTCCTGCTGGGTTTTATATGCTCAGTTACTCATTTCAGGTTGCATTGAATTAAAAAATGACAGTATTGTGTTTAAAAGGATTATCTGTGATATGCTCATTGGCTAAAGACGTGTGATTCACAAGTTGTTAGCCAATGAACGCGTGGCTTCACTGTCAGACCTGCCCCTCTGTCACATCGTGTCCACCTTTTATACTGTCTGTAGTTCCAACTGCTCCTGAGCTTACTATTGGAAGGTGGGAAGCATGTGCAGTCTTATTGGAGCACAGTTTGCTCGCAGAGCTCAGACAGGAAGTTGACAGAACAGTACAAACATGTTGTTGATGGATCCATTAAGGTGCTGGTTCATTCACACTATTATACACAAAGTTACTGAGCAGCAGTATTACAGTTGTCCACCAAAGTTTCCATTTAACTGTATCATTCAGTGTTGCCTGCAGTTCACAGCAGTACCTCCTTCTTCTTTTTAAAGCAAACATTTCTTTCTCACAGTTTCAGAGTAAATTAGCCAGTGTGCCTCTGGCTGCTGAAAGCACATCCATCAGTTTCTTTGCATCGTAAGTGTTATCAGCTGTTCTACTGACACCAAATTCATCATCAGTCAGCTTCACTCATCACGTCACTGCTACGAAGCTCTGTAGGCGCATCTAGAATAACTGGGAATGAACCCTCATAACCTGCTCAGTGTTTGGAAGTCGGGCCTTTGGACTTACCAGAGTTTCTGCATTGGTTACCTGTAATCTGTGGTCTGATCACAGTTTCCACACTGACAATCCAGTAACACCAGAAAGTGAATTTTGGATGAGTTATCAGAAAATGACCAACAGTGACACAGTCCCATCCACGTGTCGCCCACCCTCTCTGTCAGGGTCTGTGCTGCTGAGTTGGGGTCAAAAACAGACTATTGAGTGGTAGAAAAATAGTTTCACAATTGGTCATAGTGACAGTGGTACCTCAGTGGAGCTTCCTGGATGCTGCCGCTGTCCCTTCAGTTGCTACTGTAGTTCCTGTTGTCTTTTGCACAGACTAACCTGACTCTAGGCTGTGAAGTTTAAGTGACCCATGTTTCCTCAGTATCTGGTATCTAAGACCTGAGGAGGCAAAACGGCCCTAAACCGTGATAATGTGTCATAAAGTATCTTCAGCTGCTTCCTTCTTTCAGGGGGCTGCCACAGCAGATGGACCCACATGTTTCATTTGGCACTAATGTCACACTGCACCCACATCTATCTGGGACGGCCACTGTGCAAGGTTGGACCACCAGAGACTGGGTTTCTCCCAGTCTCAAACCAGTTTCATGTGTAGGTGAAGATGTTAACCCCTACAACATGACTGATTGATGATCATGACATACAGAGAGATCAGACCACATGTTGGGTATTCAACACAGAAATGCTGGGAGTTTCAAATGTTACCATTGATGAACCATCAAACTGCCGGCATCACTTCTAATGTTCATATCTTACGAATAATAAGGTCCAATTCAGTCATTTAAAATGTTAACAAAGCAAACAGGCTTTGTGATCTCTGAACAAAGAGCTAAACACACTGCTGATACAACTGTGACATGAAGGCTTTTTGGTTTTTTTGGTTTTTACTGGTTACTTTGTCACATCCTGGCTGTCGTTCCATTTTTTAAAAGGCTGTTGAGCATTTTCTTAATTTGTGAAGTGTGACTTGAAGGGAACGTTTCACAGTGTTGTGCAAACCCAACATCAACTACAGCTGACAAATACTAAAGCTGACCTAACCCATCCTCTGAACAACCTTTAAAACAACTACAGCTGACAAATAGATCAGTTTGATGGTCAGGCATTAGTCGTACATTAGTCTCTGCTGACTACATCTATGAAGATCTGAGCACTAAAACAACATCCCGGGAGACGTAGCTGTGTTTACTGTGACAGTGTGTGAAAATAACTGAAATACTGTTTATAAGGAAACATCTTACTGCAGTGCTTAATTGGTCTTTACAGATGAAACCACTTCTTTGACATTTAGTCCTAAAACCTGCCTCTGAGGTGAAAACCTGTGTGCAGCATGTTAGACTGAAACAGTTCTGCTCCTGTATGATCGTTCAAATGAAAGGATTCACAGCTCTGGTCCTTGACGTCACAGATCGTCACAGTTCATCCACACAGTGCTTTTCATTTATGTAGAAACCTCAAATCCTGGACAAAGAAAGTCAAATTGGTAGATGTTAACACATGGAGTGTTTTTGGATCTTTAATTATAACGATTTTGAATTGTTTTTTATTGAAATGTGGTTTCTTTAAATTCTTTGATCAAAAGGATGACTTCTCACAGAGCGGGCTGATGTGGCTGATGCTCGGTCAGAAGCAGCAGGCAGTGAGTGGGAGCTCCACTCTGCCTCAGCTCCAGGTGCCTAAATCGGCTGGTTCTCGTGACATGGTTCAGAATAGCATCAGATCTCAGCTGAACAACAAGGGTTCCAGTCATATAAATCAGACACAGCTGATGCATCGTCGTCCATGTTAGCTGTTGGTTCTCTTGACCTTTGGAGTGAAAGATGCTTAACCTCCTAGGACCTGCGTCCACATATGTGGACATCACATTTTGGGTTATTTAGACCAAAATACTCAATTTTGCTCTACAAGGGCCTGATATCCTTTTACGAGGACATTATGCTGCTACTGTCCTATCAAAATTTTAGACGAATATCCTCATGTGTGGCTCTGATTTTTCTTAAAAACAAGAATAAGGTAAAAAAAAAAATATCTGGTAATTCTTTGTTTTTACATTCATTGGGTCCCAATCAGCCCAAATATCAAAGAGAAATTAAAAATGCTGCCGTGCAAGAGTTCGGGTCTTAGGAGGTTAAAGATCTTGACAAATGGATAAGAGCTCACCTTGTGCCAGCTTGTAGTCACACTTTGAAGCATCACGGTGTCGGACTGTAGTCCACACAGTAACTACGTGACAACATGAACTCGTGCTGCTGGCAGACCTAAGTGGCCGGGCGTATTCATCTGTAATTCTTGATTTCATTCAGGAATCATTCAAGTGTGACTGAAACTGTAGATCTGCTGGCTGCAGACATACAGGCTACAGGCCGCAGGCGTCATCTTCATTTCCTGGACGTGAAGTCCCAAAGACGATGCTCTCGGTTGGATTTCTGAGTTTTGTACATAACTGAGTATGGAGTCGATTCAAAGATGTTCACGAACACATTTTCTCTCCATCTGCATGAATGCATTGATGGCGTGGAACATAGCTGGCAGTGCGCTCCATGTTTGTGTCCAGTATGAAGGAAGCACCGTACACCCCATGGCGTACTGGTTCCAGTTAGAGTGGTGATGTGTAGACAGAGAAACGCTGTGGGGTTAGGGTACGTCACCACTCGTCACTTTGACGTGCTTTTGAGTTTCTCTGAGGTTTTTTCATTTGAATGAAGATTTCTTCTTCATGGACATGTTTCTGATTAATGGGGGGAAATGTATGTATTTGAGTAATGCCTGTGTATTTGTGCCCTGGACTAAATTGACATATCCAAACCGTATTAGCTCGTATGTTACTCTGTCACCAAAGTTTGGTTGATGGGCCACAGCAGACTGACAGATGGGAAAGTGTTCCCACACAGAATCTACTAAACAAGCGTTGAGTCTTGTTTAAACTGCTGTTTCCAAGGTCAGTAACGATGGTTCATGCTCAGCACTGTGGCTTCTGTTGTAAATGAGAAGGTATAAATATGTCGTTTCATATTTCTTGTAGCTGGATATGAATTGTTTTTCGTTTGGTTGGAGTCTTTTTTAAACTCTGGTATCAAGCAGTTACAGCACAGACAAGTCTGCTTCATGTTTGTTGCTTTCACCACTTCCACGAGCGTCAGCCACACCTGCCCTGAAGGTGAATAGATGGGATTTAGTGCGATAGCGTCAGCACGTTCTTGTATGGTTTGACTCCGTGTAGCTGTGTGCATGCCCTGCCTGCAGGGCGCTGACAGCCATAAACAAATTTAATTTCATCCAGTGAACCTGTCTGGACAGCTGATCCCTTTGAAGAGCTACTGGGCTGCGCACTCTACAGAAAATGTGAATTTCACAGAAATTGAGTCGTCACTTCCCTTCCACCACATAGGTTAGCATTTCCACACACGTGTGGTGACTCGCCTGATGCCTGTATAACCCAATAGTGTTATAATTTACCTCACTGTTCTTCTTTGAGCTCCAGAATTCTGAGAATAATGACAGAAAGTGCCCGTCTCCTTTGTGAGTGAGCAGAGATGAACACCAGTGGAAACCATATTTCTGTAGGTCGTGTGAAACGTGGAGCTGAGTTCTGAATGTTCCCAACCTTTATGGAAGTTTGCTCTTTGGATCTTGTGAATGTTTGTGGTTTTACAAGAGATGTTAGCAAGCCGCTCTTTTTTATTAGCACTTTTTGTAAATGGGATGCGTTTATTTCCTGCAGCATCGAGTCTTTTATTACAAATGTATAGATTCTATATTTAGCTCTTTTAGAGAACAATAACATGTAAATACAATATAAATGTTTTATTTTTGCAGGTACAATTTTTGGCAGTGTTTTTCCTATAAAGTGTCATTTTTGCTTTACTTGCACAATTGCTCTGTGTTTCTCATTGAGGCCTCTTGCTTTGCAGCTTTGACTTAATTGGTCTCCTTTGACCGTTCGTACGCTGCTTTACGTCAGAGTGTACCGTGGTGAAGCTGAAACGAAGCTACTTAACAATATCACTGTGTCACAGAGTGTTTAGATGTTCCAAAAATAAGATGTTCCAATAACTCCATGAGTGTGTCCTCTTCTGTCATTTTTACACCTCGGTGTGGTACATTACTTGATTTCCTCGTGGTCTCTGTCTGAAAGCTGCAACTATGTGATGTAAAACTCTTATGGAGTGTACGACAGATTCCAGGTACAGAGAAGCAATAACAGTGGATCAAAGCTGATTACAAGTATTTTAGAGAGAGTGCGTGTGTGTGCGCGCGCGCGTGTGCGCGCGTGTGAGTGCGTGCGTGCGTGTGTGCGTGCGTGCGTGTGCGTGCGCGTGTGTGTGCGTGCGTGCGCCTGGCAAGTGCTGAGGCAGGAGATGCTCTGCAATGAGAGGCACAGACCAATTCAAACTTCTTTATAAGCTTCAATGGTACCAGTGAACTTTATTGAATGTTATGAAAAAACACTGCAATATATTTTGGTATTGGATCAAGCTGCTAACATACTTCTAAAGCTCCTTAAGGTGCTACAGACCTCCTCACTTTCTCTTCAGATGTATCGTTTGTACAAAGTATCCCGTGTAGCTGAACAGTTGGCATGTGTGTGCCTAGTCGTACTTTATAGCTTCATATATTTTCTTGTACTGTGACTTTTGTAGTCTTTGCCTTTAATATAGCCCCCCCACCCGCACTCACCTGCGTGTGAGCGTCCACAGACTGAGTTGTGTTGGGAGGTTACGCTGATGCTGGGAAACTGATAGCAGTCAGCTGCATCCAGCCACATTTAAAAACAGCATCCTGTGACGATGATCGACTCGTTGCAAATTCTTAATGTTCTTCATATTTTACTTTTTTTTACTTTTACAACTATCTTACAAACTACTGTTGTATTTTTATAGGCAAAGTATCACCTAAACACACAAATACATATACAGCTCACACTTGTCTGTGTGTGTTTATAGGTTGTGTAAAATAAATGTTAATGCTGCAGCTTTGACATCATCCAAAGAAGCAGATTATTTATTGCCTGGCAGAATAACCTGATTTCATTCACATATGTTGCTGCTATAATAGAAGAGCTGCAGTTGACAACTCCGATGTTTTATTCAATGTAATAAAAGAAATCAAACAGAGAAGAATCCAGCTCGTCTGTTTTCAACCTGTCACTCTGGGAACTTTGTTACAGTAACACACAGTAACTCACAGTAACACACAGTGTTACTGACACGCAGACTGCAGGTTTCCCCAACCTTACAAACAGGTCTTGATCAGTGGTTGTTGATCAATGGTCATGAGAATTTGCATAATTATGATGAACTGACCTCCCAGCCCATTGTCCCTTCAGTGGGCTGGTTTCAGTCATTATGTAAATGTGCTGTTTATACCATTGGAGAAACCTGCAGTCAGCTGAGACTGAAGACGTCACCTGATGATGACGACACGTTTCTCCTACTGAAAGCATCCAGATGAACAGAATCAACTTTTGGAGAGTTACGCTTCCTTACAACATGAAAAATCTCTCTGACCCATGAATAACCCATCAGACTGGTTCCAGTAGCTTGCATTAAAACACAGTAATGTACAGTGCCATGTTTTCCTTTGTTACCAGTGAGCAGGCTGTTAGAAAGTGAGCATCTGTTTTTGCGTGCTGGAAAAGTCGGAGAGAGTGAAACAGACAGGCTGTGAGCTCCACGCTCCTCGGTGGAGCACCCTCCCCCAGCCTCACACTCAGTCCACACTGACCGTTCAGGCAGGGCTCCCCATCCGCAGCTTTAAACACTGCGCACACATTACCAGCTCACACGGCTCGCCGGGACGTATATATGACCGTAGATGTTATTATGCTCACTATCCCAGATGTTGTTCACACAAAGCCGTCCTTTTACCCGGCTCTGCTCTGTTGTATAGAGTAAACTGAGGTGAACCATCGGCATGAACTCAGTGACCCCAAACAGAAGCATTACGTCCTCCAGAACAGCAGGCGGCAGTGCGGAGCGCGTAAAAGCCTGAGCTGAGCGCAGAGTAGCTGTTCGGCTTACAGAGCAGTATGGTGCACAGCGTGCCATGCCGTCTCCCATCCCGCTGACCCGCCTGCTGCCCAAAGACTTCTGCCCCTCTCTGGACACGGGGCCCTGCAGCAGCCCGCTGACTAAGCACGGCTCCACCTTACAAGTGCCCGCTCAGCGAGCCGCTGGACCGAATCGCCACTCGGCTTTGGTCCTCGGTTATCCACTGGAAGCAGCTGCGCTCCGTGCAGCCCGTGGGCTCGGGAGGCTTCGGCTCGGTCTACCAGGCGGAGTACTTCGGAGAGACCGTGGCGGTGAAGAAGGTCAACAGGTCCACCAAGAACAAGCTGGCGTCCCAGCAGAGCTTCTGGGCCGAGCTGAACGCGGCGCACCTGCGCCACGCCAACATAGTGCGCGTAATAGCTGCCACCACCTGCGTCCCGCCACAGTGTGGAGACGAAGGCAGCATCGGGGTAATACTGATGGAGTTCGTGGGCAGAAGGAACCTCCAGCAGGTCATTTACGCTGGCACGGAGCCGCTGGGACAGCACAGGTGCGTCAGGTACTCGTCGGACATCGTTCACGGCCTGAGGTTTCTCCACTCCCACGGCGTCGTGCATCTGGACATTAAACCAGCTAACGTGCTGCTGACCAGCGAGGACGTGTGCAAAATCGCAGACTTCGGCTGTTCTCTCAAACTGGACCCTGGCTGTGAGGTCAGCGCCGCGAGCCACCAGCCACTCGTGGGTGGCACGTACACGCACAGAGCCCCAGAGCTGCTCAGAGGCGAGAGGGTGACTCCTAAAGCGGACATCTTTTCTTTCGGCATCACTCTGTGGCAGCTTCTCACCAGAGAGCCGCCCTACACCGGCGACAGGGAGCACGTCATCTACGCGGTGGTGGCTCACAATCTGCGGCCTCCTGTTCAGGACCACCAGGTGTTCCGGTCGGAGCCGGGGCGGCTGTTTCGGGCTCTGCTGAGCCGCTGCTGGAACGGAACGCCCCCCTGCAGACCCAGCGCCCAGGAGCTGCTGTCGTCCCTGGAGCAGCTGCAGCCACAGACCTGATTTGATCTCCGAAGCTGCGCACGGGTGTGTGGACAGCTGTGGGTTTGAATATGTTCAGCTTCAGGAAACGAGCACTGTGCGCTAGGCCAGGTCAAAGCTGAGGAAACCATGGAAACGCTGGGCGTCTATGACTACATGTTTCTACTGTGCAAATAATACGTGTGATAGTCCTCAGATTGTAGCATTAAAATGAGCTGGTTTATTCTCCTCTCAGCTGTCTGTGCTGCTGTCAGGTCGGTCCTGTGGGACCAGGACAGTTTCCTCCCAGGCGTCCTGATCCATCTGTGACAGTTTCCAAATGTTTCTTAAATGTGTTGTGAATCCTAGTGTGTGAAACGTGATATTTGGGTGTGATGGGTTTCATTAAAATTCTTTTTTATGCCACGTTTGTCTGGAGTTCACATCATTAGAGGGCAGCAGCTGGTCGGAGGCTCGGTGGGCCACTGCTGCCGTGTCATGGGAGGACACTTAGTGTTCAAGTAGTACAAAACAAACTGTTTGTTTACATTTCAAATATTGTGTAGCAACACTAAACACATGGGTCCTCTCTGACTGTCATTGTGTTCGTATTTAACCACAAACTGCATTAGATTCTTCACGTCAGTGTACGGCTGAGGTGGGCCCGGCTACCAGCCTCATTCAGCCAATCAGTTTTCTCCTTATTTACCAATCCACCCCCGCACACACAGACGTGCCTCCTGAGCGTGTAGGGGGGTACCCACTGTCAGAGTTGTCGTTGAGCCTCGTAATGATTTGCAGCTGTGTGCAGAAACAACGAGATTCAAATGAAATGAGCAAACTCAGACTTGTTCATGATAAAGTTTATTTGTACTCTGACGTCGAGCTTGGGTCTGCCGTTCCTGTCTCCATCACCAGCCCGGCCCGTCGTCTGATCCAGCTGCTGTAGATCTCCTTCATCCTTAAAGCTCACAAACTCAATACATATACAGAGAAGTACGGTTTGTGAAGCCGGACAGCAGAGGGCGCTGCTGCTCATTTAACTGCAGATTAGACACCGGCTGTTCATTCACTGTAAAAACACAACGAAATACTATAAACTAACACTCAGTGTGAAGCTGTGTGTCACATGAGCGTCACAGGAACACGTTTCACTGACTGACACACAAATGTTACACACTTCTACCACGGTCTGTAAGGAAAACAATGTGTGAATGACAGCCTCAGATCGCACTGCAGACACACACAGGTAAACGCAGGTGTGCAGCGTTACAGTGAGGAGAGGCAGATGTGCTGCAGCTGTCCTCCATCATCGAAGCTGCAGGGCCCACCGACAGCGCCTCTGCTACACTCCAGTCGCGATGTCACAGAAGAGCAAACAGCTGTTCTCACAGATGAGCAGGTACTGTACAAACTGCAGTTTCAGTTACAGCAGCGACTCAAAGCAGGGACGTGATGTCCTGATAAACACTACACAATAATACGAAGCAGCATCGTTGGAACAATATGAATAAGCGGATACAGCAACAGGTCCACAGCACGAAGCTGTCATCAGACACAGTCCCGCAGTGAGAGTCACTACAGCGGTTCCTCACCTGGAGCTACGAACAGGCCGATCACATAATGGTGACCCTCTCAGGGGAAACGTGGGCAGCTGAGCCCACCGGCTCCATGCGCTTGCCCCTCATCTCACTGCTGTCCTGACCCCTGCGGATCTGGTGGAGCTTGCGGGCAACACAGGGGAGCAGGATCAGCAGCTTCCCAACGATGACGCACACCGGGAGCGCCAGGGCTACGACGAAGCTGGGCGGCAGGTAGAAGCGGTAGGCCTCCTCCTCAAAGGCGCGTTTCCAGCCAAACAGCAGCCCGTGGAAGGTCGCAATGAGCAGGGCGATGTACCCCAGAGTGGACTGGAGCAAAGACAGGAACACTCAGACACAGGCTTTTGTTGTGATCACATAACAGCACGACAGTGACTTACATTAGACACGCCCCTAACATCGAGACTACAGCAGAACATGTTTACACGTATGTAGTCTGTCATGTGACTGTCTAAGAGAGCGTCTCGGTCACAGGACGTTTCCCCAAGTGTTCACAGCAGCTAAGCTGGTTTCAGGTACACTCGTCACAAGCTGCCATTACGCACTACTGATCACGTACACAGACTAGACTGGACTCAGAATACTCTCTGAGGCACGTGACACGACGGGCTGGTGGACTCTGTGGGTACCTGTATGAAGCCGAACTCCCTCCAGTTGAGCGTGCTGTGGACAGACGGGATGGAGGTGACAGCCAGCAGAGACAGCAGCCCCAGACTCATGATCCCAAAGGAAACGTACATCTCCACCCTCCACACCTCTTCCTCGTTCCACGTGCTTTCCATGTTCGAGTGGACCTGCCATCACATGAGAACACGAGCCCGTCACAGTGATTACAGTTTATCAGGAGAAACCCTACCGCTGCTGCCAATCAGATTACAGTGTTTCTGGTTTATTCCACGAGCCTCCCATCGCTCCTCATGTGTTTAACACAGATGTTAGACAACGCCGACGTGAACACGTCTCTACTGTGACACAAACAGAAAAGTTAAAACCAGGACGGTTGGTGGTTCAATCCCCGTCTGGGCAAGATGCTAACCCCCTATGATGCATCCATGGGAGTGTGAATGTTAGACAGGAAGCTTGTGTGAATGCTGCCTCAGGGTGACACTTATGCTGACCTGTAACGTTTCTGGATATTTGAAGGGAAAACTTTTGATGTTGCCAGTTCTCTTGCTAATGTGTAACGATTCAAATCAAAGTGATCTTCAGAAACAGCACTGATGTTTGTAAAGATGTGCAAAAAGCTGTTTCACTGACCTGCTGATAAGCAGTGTTGAGCAGCAGGTATCTCTCAGACCTTCTCAGAGGCAGGCACACACTGTAGAGGACATGAACAGCAGCCAGGAAAAAAGCGAGGAGGCCCAGCTGTTTGCGGCTCTGCAGCCAGTTTTCCAGCCAGTGTGGGAAATGCTTGTACTTGGTGCCATAGTAGAGCTGGTGGGCAGCTGCTAACTGTCCTGCAAGGTACACCAGGGCCAAGAGAGTGATGGCGACGGCAGGCAGTGTCCGATTCACTATCTCTATGGGGATCTTGTAGAAGTCACTCTGCTTGTATTTCATATATGGGTGAATTATATCTCGAATAAACGAGTAAGAGAAAAAGAAGATGGAGAGGGCCACGGCAGCAAGAACAGGGCCCTTCCAGCCAGGGAACAACTGGATAGGCATGTTCTCAATATCACGGGAAGAAGACAGGGTGCCCATGTCCACCGGCTGGAAGTTGAGCTGCCGGGCTAATTCCATGATCTGCTGCCTGGCCTCCACCGAGTCACTGCAGATGAACACCTACAGGAGAAACATGAGGGCGGGTTAGAGACGACGGGCCGGTTCAGAGGCGTCCTCCTGTTTGGACGGTGCTGTGAGACCTTTATGAGTCCATCTCAGCAGCATCAGTAAGCCTGAAGAGCCTGCTACAGACCTCTCTGCACCCATGCTTCTTATTAATCTCTGGATATCTCCCACAGCATGTCTTTGTCCCCCCTGAGCCTGGTTCTGCTGGAGGTTTCTTCCTGTTAAAGGGAGTTTTTCCTTCCCACTGTCACCAAAGTGCTGCTCACAGGGGGTCACATGATTGTTGGGTTGTATTATTGTAGGGTCTGCCTTACATTATGTTGTTGTGGTCTGCTGCTGTATAAATAAAGTTGAATTGAAGCCGTTCTGTGTGCTTTGAGGTCATTTCGAACGCTGCCACTAACCCAAAGGAAGCACTTACTGGTATTTCTTCACTGACTCAGTGTCATCAACAGCTTTAAACTCTCTGCCTTACATACAAAGTATCACAAAGTCAGATTCATGAGCACGTGGCTGACCTCTCAGTTGAGGCTGTGGTATTTTAAGGTAAAGACCCTACAACACTACAGACAAACCCCTGGTGGGCGAGCATTTTAGCAACAGTCACAGGTCAAAACTTTGGTTTTTAAACAGGAGGAAAGCTCCAGCAGAGCTCAGGGACAAAGACACGCTGTAGACGTGGACACGTGTGGCCCGGTTACTGCACCTGTGTGCTGGCATCCTTAGGGTAGCTCTGCTGCATGGCCCAGGCTGAGATGACGTTGAAGCCTTTGACCACGATAGAGTCTGGCAGCAGTGAAGCCAGATACTCGGCGTTGGACTCTGGATACTGGTTTGCTCGCTTATTGTTACTCACATCCACCAGGATCTTCCCTGCAGAACAAACACAAGCACAGCAGTCAGGTCACCAACACTGATAACCCAGACGTCTTTGCCCTTGCATTTCCTCCAGTCTCACAGACGCGGCTCAAACCAAAACCTTTGGGAGGTCAGTAGCTTGATCTGCATGCTGGGATAAGAAAATCAACCACTGTGTCCAGTATGTGTGTGATGGTGTGAAAGCACTTAGAGGTGTGTGACATACCTTCCAGTAGGTGTTTGAGGTCCCACACAACAGAATAGTGCTCACGGCGGATTGCCAGGAATACGATGTTAGCCTTCCCCACGGCATCTTCATGGTGAGTTACATCCACCACATGTGGAAATGAGTGGGCTGCCAATTTGGGATGGCGGCTACCCACCACCACATGGAAGCCACAGCGCAGCAGGCGAATGGTCAGGCACTTGGAGAAGTCACCTGATCCCAGAATGGCCACAGTAGGCTGAGCAGACACGCACCAGCTTCCTGGACCTGCAGCTCCATTCTTCAGGCCTTTGGACAGCAGGGGGGCCTGGACGTGGTGGGAGGAGGAGGCTGTGAGGAACACGGGGTTCCTGCTTCCACTCATCAGAGACATAGAGTCCATCCTGCGTGCTGCTTCAGTGGGCCTGGAGGAGACAGAAGCACGGGTGTCTGTAAGAACACAGCAAAGGATCCGCAGGTTTCACGCATTTAACACACTTTGTTCCACATTTCTGAGAGCTACAGCAAACACGTCCACGCTGTGTGCGTGCGTGCGTGAGCGCGCGCTGGGACAGGAGGCCTCCACTAGCTACCCCAGTGACCGCGCGGGGAGCCCCCACACGACATCGGCTCTCCTCGCGACCTTGTGACTGCAGACAGTGGTTTCGCGAAGGACGCGGTCGCGCGTGTGCTCGTGCACCTGCACCAGATCCTCTACCGAGACACGACGAGCTGCCCGTTTACCCCACTCAGACACGCGCACACGTATGATGCCATGTTACCGTGTGTGTCACGCGGGGATGCTGTCGCAGCTGCTAGCTCACCCTCCCGGTCCTGCTCAGCCTCTGCCGCGTGACGTCATCACACTCGCTCGCGCCATCGTTCACTCAAGCGGAAGTTATTTTCAGGCGATATTATCTGCAGACAACACTGAAGCGAAGCTCTCTGTACATCACCCACAGCTCCGTCTCCTGTTTCACCGTGAAACAGGAAACACGTCACTGTTGCCTGCTCAGCACAATGTGACGTCATGTACGTGAGGGCAGAGCTTTTGTTTACACTCGGGCTTCATGCTCGCGCTTGTGTCGCCTCTGTCTGGTGACATCAGCTCAGTGTGCGCATGTGCTGATGCTCAACCATCCAGGTGAGGCCGACGGGGTTCACCTGCACGTGTTTGTGCATTTACACACATATACACTCTGGTATTACAACTGTTGTAGATCAGTGAGCAGTGGGCCAAACTAACTGCAGTGCACATGAACCACGTGGTGCAGTGTTGCCATTCACACAGTAGCTCCACATCAGCGTTAACACGGGAGGGCGAGACGTCCACAGT